AAACCCTGTATGTGGCGTTCCGACAGATACTTCAACTTCTATTCATGAGATGGCGCCACGTGTAAAATCCAGTTCTTAATCGGAGCAGCAAAGCGACGTCATTACTCACTCAGACTTTTCGTCAAACAACTGTACGCGACGGTAGCATGAACTGTGTTTCGAGCTCTTCGTTGATCTCTGCAATGTAATTTAAATTGTAATTTAGTACTTAATATATTCTTTTGTTGTAGGAGATTGTCTACTTTTATTTTCTTTAATTATATCATGCATTAAGCACACGACCGCCAAAAGTAGTGACCTTTTGACTGAGCACCCTACTGACAATGGATTTTCAACGACCCTAAGCCACGTACATCCAAGACATTCTGAAGAACTGACTAAAAATAACAACGAATATGGACATTAAACGTATGCTACAACGTACCCCTTCAATTATTTCTAGAAGTATTGATATATATTGCTTGTGTTTTTTCAAAGTCGTGCATATCATCGCAAGGAGCTTCAGCAAATCATCAATGTGATCTGTTCCGTTCCGCTGACTTCGCCAGTCGTGCAATAATTCTTCGATCATTCAACAAATGTGATACAATAGTGATTTTCGCTAAATGTGCTACATCAGTAATTTTTCTGCAACGTGCTACGGCAAAATTCTTCCCTCAGTGTTCGAAAGTAGTGAATTTTTTTCCCATGTGCTACAGGAGTGATTTCCTTTTTTCTTCGAAAGTGCCTTAGCAGTGGGAAGTGGTGATTTTGTGTGTGCGCAATACAAAATGAACGCATCATTTTTTTCTCAAATAGGGGTTTTCTTTTCAAATGCATTTCGGTAAAATATTATTTGTGTGTGTAATTGCTGACCCTGTCTTATTTGTGTGTGTATCGTTACGTAAATTTTTTCTGCATGGTTAAAATATTTATTGTTATCATGGTAAAATATCAATAGTGTATCCTCATGCTACAATATTTGTGCTGTTAAGTGTTTATTAATTAAAGTGAAAATTATCTATCAGTATGCCCGACGATATTCCACCAGAGCCACAAATCACACGCGTTGCGGTGAAGCCACCGCCTTTCTGGAAAAATAATCCTTCATTGTGGTTCGCTCAGATCGAAGCACAATTTTCTATCGCTTCCATTAGTGATGATTCTACAAAATTCAACCATGTAGTTGCAGCAATTGAGTCTGATATTCTGAATTCAGTGCATGACTTAATTCTCAAACCACCTGATTGTGATAAATACTCCAAACTGAAACAGCGGCTCATTGAAATCTATTCAGAAAGTGCATCTTCAAAAATACGTACTTTACTACAAGGACTTGAACTTGGAGATCAGCGACCTTCATACTTGCTGTCACGAATGCGTGATCTGGCAGGAAGCCATTTTAGTGAAGACTTGTTGAAGTCACTATGGCTTTCGCGTCTCCCTAATAACATACAAATAATTTTTGCTGCTTCCAATGAAGATCTAACCCGTTTAGCAGCAATGGCTGACAAAATTAATGAACTTGTTACTCCAGCTTATGTCAGTGCTGCTAATGCTGCACCTTCCAGTTCATCCCTCGAACAACAAGTGGCTGAATTGACCAAAAAAGTATCTGAACTCTCTACAAGTCTTCATGCTTCACGGAGATACAATCGACCAAATCAGGGCCCACGTAATAAATTTCGTGCCCGAAGAAGGAGTCGATCTCGTCACAATACTCGAAAGCAGTACAAAGAACCCACAAGTGGCATATGTTTTTATCATATGAATTTTGGCGCTCAAGCTCGCAAGTGTGCCCCTCCATGCACTTTTGAACAAGCGGGAAACTAAATGGGCGGTCTTCTGCTGGCCAACAGAATGTCCGCCACATCGACAGAATAGTACTGGCTGATCGTTCAACTCAGTTATGTTTTCTAGTAGATACTGGAGCTGACATATCAGTGCTCCCGAGAACTAAAACAAATACTCATCAACTTAATAAACTTGTACTGTATGCAGCCAATGATACCCAAATTGCAACCTACGGCACCAAACTATTGACACTTGATTTAAACTTGCGCTGGACTTTCAACTGGCCTTTTATTATTGCGGATGTAACTCAAGCAATTATTAGTGTCGACTTCTTGACACATTTCCACCTTCTAGTGGATGTCAAGAATAATTGCTTAATTGATGCTACAACTCAGCTGACATCACAGGGCCAAGCTTCTCACATATCGAACGTACCTACCAACATAAGTGTTGTATCGGGCAGCACACGGTTTCATCGGTTATTAGCAGAATTCCCTGACATTTTAACCTTCTAAAACCGGGCCGAAATTCTCATGACCGGCCTTCAGATCGGCGCGATCCGAAGCAGTTTTGCCCCCTCTTTGACATTTTCCTAATGAGAAAAGTCGTTAGTTCCCCTCCATGGATGAAGTAAAATTTACATGTTTGTCGGACGCTTACGTCCCATAGTAGAGGAGTTGCTAGATTTGCAATTTTTTCCTTGATTATTTTGCTTTCATTTAAATGAAGTTCTAAATAAATAGTGCATAAATAAATATGCAGTACTGGATGCATATCCAGTGCACACTTTATTTAGAACAAAATGTATGCAATGTTTATATTTCACTCACTATTTCTAATCAATCTCGTAAATAATTTGTGAATTTTTTAACTTTGTTTTCACTCTTCATTTATATTCGCGTATTTTCGTATTAGAAATTAGAAAGCGAGAACAAAATTTAACAAAATATAGTAAATACGAATTAGATTTGTAAGTGTGCAGGCTGGAATGCGATTTTTAATAACATATTTTCATTAATAAAATAATGGTAATGACTAATTTAATGAAATAATAATAATAATATTTATTACCATTAGATGATTAGAATGAGATTCAATACAATTAGATTTTGAGATGAACTTACAGCAATAATAAAGCTTTACATAACAATAACAGAGATTAAATCTGCTTCTTTCGATAATTTTGTTATTATAATATAAAAATCAAAATTCGAGATACATTGGTTGCGTTTAATCATTTAACTTTAACAAATATTACATTGGACGATCAGGCAAAGAAGGTATATGTTTAACGAGAATTTTTCTTTGTAAAATTGGCTTTTGTTTATGTTAGCAGAGAAAAAAATCCGTGACTTATACATGCAATCATCAAAAGAATTTTGAGAACAGTTTTAAATGTTCATGAAGAATTAATTATACGTCAATTTCTTTTCATGGGTAGAAATTTCGTCTAAAACCATCGTTATATCCAAAAGTTGAAGTCTATTTCATTTTCAACGAATATTCTATTTGCACATAATATATTTTCTAATTTATTTTAGAAAGAGTAATCTTTCACGTTTTCAAAAGGATAAGGAAATATTGGGTGTTGACACAATGTAGTAAATCTGTTTTTCATATTTCTTCCAGTAATGAAAACGATTACCCTGGAATATTTTCAAAGCAAAATTAAGAAAACCGTTTACGCCAAATTTTGCATAAAGTATCTTCTCGTGTATTTTTTTTTTTATTTAAAGTGTGGAATTTTCTCTTTAAAATTTCAAAAATCATCAACAGCAAAATTAATTCACGAGAAATAACTTTGAAATGCAATAATTCCATCGTAATATGAAATAGTGGAGAAAAGTGCAATACAGTTTATTTATTCACAAATAATCCTCCTTATATGCGTAATTTATGTACTGTCGATTGAGAAATATAGGTTAGTAAATTAAACCGGTTATTTCAATACTTTTCCTTTATCAATATTTTTACGAGCTCTTCAGTAGAGCGGTAAAGGTGGCTGAACACTTGTAGCTCGCTTGGGTTTGAATCCCGGAAAAATATTTGGATTCACGGTTTTTGTGTAACGTAAATGCAAGCCAGCGTCTCTTAGAAAGTCCTCCGCGAAGGCATAACTCCCCTTATACAGGTAATTGTTGTGTGCTTTGATGTAATTCAATAAGCGAACAAAATTAATCCAACCAATGCCGAAGAACGGGTTGATTACATGTTCCACCCGTTCTTCGGCATTGGTTCCATTCCAGTTTTCCACCAGGAACGTAAATGCGAGCAATTTTCTCTTAAAAAGGATTACACGAAAGCATCCATCCCCTTAAGCAGATAGCGTTCGCGCGCTTTTCCGTAATCCAATCCTAATTTTCATACATTTAATAGTAAGTTGACATACACCTTATTACAGACAAAATAACAACCTTTTTTAAAGATATTTTTTTATCAACTTGCCTAAATTCCCTTTATCTCTTGAGGAGTATAAGAATTTCAGCAAATAAAACTGGCCGAAATTTTATAAAATGTAACTGATGTTTTGATTCAATTTAGAAGAAACGTGAGCTTTACGGATATTTAAATACTTTTTGGCAGATCTCATCCTAAAAGAGGGTCTAAAGATAAATTGATTTTATTTAATTTACAATCAATGAAAATCATTGAAAGCAATCACTGAATGAATAAAAATCACAAAAACTATTATACATACAATTGTCTCTTATTTATCTCCTGATAAATCAGACAAAATTGCCTGCATAATAGAAGCACTTTGAAAGAGTTAACAGTTCTTAAGGGTTTTATGCACTCCACAAAAAAATGTCAAAATAAAATCTTATTATTCATAAGTATGAAAAGGAAGTAAACGATAAAAGCAGTTTCACCTATTTTCTAGAAGGGCATTAAATCTAAAATATTAATCTATTCTTGTTTGTTATTTTGATTAAAAAACATTAAATATGGTAAGCTTAAAGAGCGTGCAAAATCGCTGACGTTTTAATCATAGCAAAAATCAGTACTAAAAAAATTAGCATTAAAATTATGAGGCAGATTGAGAAAGAGATGGCCTCTATTTAATTTTCAAGTATATTGGCGCGAGACGAAACCTGCGGTTTTTGCCAAAACTGTAGCGAAACTGAATAAGAGGGAAATAATGCGTAGCCAGCGGCTACTCTGAGCCGCGACAATGGACCACCCAAAGATCTACAGATAGGCGATTCTCTAAAATGGGGAGGGCATGGATGGTACGACAGTTGTACCAATGCCGGCGTCTGAGAAAAAGTTCTCCTGGTACAACTGCTGTACCAGCCGGCTTCGAGAGGTTAAACCCATCCAAATCAGGTGAGCATACTCATCAGCCAGAAGTGTATCATCACATTGAAACACATTGCCCACCTGTATTTTCCAAGCCTCGTCGTCTTTCTCCAGAGATGCTAAAAGCTGCTCGCAAATAATTTGAATTCATGCTAGCACAGAGAACCATTCGCCCATCTAAAAGTCCGTGGGCCAGTCCACTTCACATGGTTAAAAAGTCTAATGGTGACTGGCGGCCTTGTGGAGATTATCGTCGACTTAATGCCGTCACAGTCCCTGACAGATATCCAGTCCCACATATCCAAGACTGTACCCATCTTTTTCATGGAACAAACATATTTTCTACCCTCGATCTTGCCAGAGCATATCATCAGATCCCAGTGCATGCTGAAGATGTGCCCAAGACCGCAGTGACTACACCATTTGGTCTCTTTGAGTACTTATATATGCCATTTGGCCTTCGCAATGCTGGCCAAACATTTCAGCGTTTCATACACCAAGTACTGTCTGGCCTCGATTTCTGCATCCCATATTTTGATGATATCCTGGTTGCATCTACAGATGCGGAAGAACATTTTCAACATCTGCGTCAGATTTTCACTCGCCTTAAAGATCATGGATTAAAACTAAATCCATCCAAATGTGTACTTGGTCAACCCTCAGTTTCCTTTCTTGGATGTCTTATCACCCAGAATGGAGTCAAACCTTTACCGGAAAGAGTCAAAGCAATTAACGACCTACCTCAGCCCAAAACCATCTCTGAACTGAAGCGTTTTCTAGCAATGTTAAATTTCTACCGACGCTTTCTGCCAAATGCCGCAAAAACACAAGCCTGCCTACATGAGTTTCTGAAGAATAGCAGAAAAAAAAAAAAAAAAAAAAAAAAAGATCAACGAGCTCTGTCCCTTGGACTGAATCTGCATCTGCAGCATTCGTGCAATGCAAACACGATCTGGCAAATGCAGCCACACTTTCTTATCACTCACCTAGTGATCAGCTCTCTATAATGGTAGATGCATCTGACACGGCCATAGGAGCAGTGCTTCAAGCCCATACCACTAAAGGACTTTCCCCCAATGGCATTCTTCTCCAGAAAAACTTACTACTGCAGAAAGGAAATACAGCACATATGACAGGGAGCTACTTGCTGTGTACTGTGCTGTTAAATACTTCCGGCACAACTTGGAAGGACACGACTTCATCATTTTCACCGATCATCGACCATTAACCTTCGCTTTTAGAAAAAACTCTGACTCATGTTCTCCTCGTCAGCTTCGACATCTGGATTTCATCGCCCAGTTTAGTACAGATATCAGATATGTCTCTGGTACTGATAATTGTGTCGCTGATGCCTTGTCTCGGGTAAACAATATCAACCTCACTACCCCAGATTTCTCTGAAATTGCAAAAGCTCAATTGCATGATGAGGAACTCAAGAACCTAATCTCAAATCCACAAACCTCCCTTCAGTTACAACCGCTGCACATTGATCCAACGCTTAAAATTTACTGTGACATAGAGAACAATAGAATACGTCCCTATATTCCTGTCAATTTTAGACGTGAAGTGTTTAATGCCTTGCACAATTTGGCACATCCTGGAATCCGTGCCACCAAAAAGCTGATCGCAGACAGATTTGTCTGGCCAGCAATGAATCAAGACATCACAGAATGGACTCGTTCATGTATTAGATGTCAACGGTGTAAAGTATCCCGTCACACTCACAGCCCCATTCAACAATTTAACCTTCCAGCAAGACGCTTTGATCATGTGCACTTAGACTTGGTTGGCCCATTGCCTCCTTCAAATGGTTACACTTACCTCCTCACTTGTATTGATCGGTACACAAGATGGCCTGAAGCCATTCCTATTGAAAATATATCCGCTGAAACTGTAGCTCGAGCATTCATCTCCCAGTGGCTTTCAAGATTTGGCATGCCTACCACCATCACTACTGACCAAGGCCGACAATTTCAATGTCACTTGTTCGCATCCCTCACCTCTCTTCTTGGCATTCGCCATATTCGCACAACACCATACCATCCATCTGGAAATGGGATGGTGGAACGCTTTCACCGATCTCTCAAACAAGGTCTGAAGTGCCACAGTAGCACACACTGGACAGAAGCCTTACCCCTAGTCTTGCTTGGTCTTCGCACAGCATTCAAAGAAGACATTGGTAGCACTTGTGCTGAAATGTTATATGGTGCAACCCTCCGTCTGCCAGGTGAATTCTTTCACCCAGAATCTACTCCAGTTATCGACCCTCCAACATTCCTTCAACGTTTACGTGAGACCATGAGCAATATCTCGCCAACCCCAGCATCTTCGCATAACCAGCCAAGCTATTTTGTACATCCTGCGCTTGAGACATCTTCGCACGTATTCGTGCGCAACGATGCAATTAAGCCAACTTTAACACCTTCATATGATGGTCCATTCAAAGTTGTCAAACGAACACCGAAACATTTCACCATCATCTGCAATGGCAAACAATCAGTGATTGGAATCGATCGTCTCAAACCAGCATTTCTAATGCAAGATCCAACAACTTCCTCCTCATCAACATCACTCCCGGAAGAAAGCTTACATCCCGTTAAAGAGCAACCTAAAACTACTAGATCTGGAAGAAAGGTTAAATTTAATCCAAAGTACTTATAACGTACCGATGGTACTTGGGGGGGGAGTACTGTGGCGTTCCGACAGATACTTCAACTTCTATTCATGAGATGGCGCCACGTGTAAAATCCAGTTCTTAATCGGAGCAGCAAAGCGACGTCATTACTCACTCAGACTTCTCGTCAGACAACTGTACGCGACGGTAGCATGAACTGTGTTTCGAGCTCTTCGTTGATCTCTGCAATGTAATTTAAATTGTAATTTAGTACTTAATATATTCTTTTGTTGTAGGAGATTGTCTACTCTTATTTTCTTTAATTATATCATGCATTAAGCACACGACCACCAAATGTATATCAGAGATATATACAAATATTTAAATTAGCATTTCGTTAAGTACTTTTGTTGAGATAAAGTACATGATGCATCAGTTTTACTGTATCCTGTGCTTAGAAACAGGCATCTGAAGTAAAAAATTTTCCTCTTTTTTTCCCCCTTTCTTCGCAGCTATACAATATCTTTGATAAAATTCCGGTTCCTGAACATACTTTCTCATTTCCATTTATTGCTTCTAGTTAAAGCATCAAAAATGATTTGAATTATCATCTCAAATGAAAATGAGAAAATTATTTTACTGAAGATGCATTTCAAGCAATAATATGGATAAACTGTGACTTTGAGATGCATTTCTAAGGTTAGAACTGGGTTAAAATGTAAGAGATACATGCAGTACTTAAATTTGTATTTATAAATATATATTACATATAAATTAATGAATTGAAATCAAAATTATAATTTATCTAAACATAAATTATTAATGAATTGAATCAATATTTAATAAGGTAATAATCACATTTCATGTGATTTATTCATGATTCTAGATGTCCCTTGCAATGTTATGCAATTCGGAATTCCAAAGCGTGAAAACCAAGTATAAATCAAAGCTTTAGCAATAGATTCTGCTGATTGATCTTCTAACGGTACCGCTTCGATCCATCGTGTATAACGATCGATGATGGTTAGAAGGTATTTGAATCCTTTGCAAGGAGGTAGCGGACCCACCAGATCTATGTTTAAATGCTGGAATCTGTGTGGAGGTACTTTGAATTCTCCCAAAGATGAATGTGTATGTCTGTGAACTTTAGATCTTTGGCAAGATAAACATGCTCTAGTCCATAGTTGGCAGTCTTTATTCATATTGGGCCATATGAAACGTCGTGTTATCAATTTTATCGTGGATCTTATTCCAGGATGAGATAAATTATGGATTGAAGAAAATATTTTCTGCCGAAACTTTGCAGGGATGTATGGTCGATTATAATTTGTAGAAGTATCACAGTAAATTTTCTTGTCGCTGTCCGGTATAGGGATCTGTAGGATTTTTAAGTTTGGGTTGTTTTTTAGTGTCTCCAAGTCGTCATCTTCTTGACAGTCTACTATAGTTTGTAAGTCTATTGCAGATGGTACAGAAATGGTGTCTATGCGAGAGAGAGCGTCAGCGACGGTATTTTCATGCCCTTGTATGAATCGGATATCGGTTGAGAACTGGCCAATATATGACAGTTGTCTAGCTTGTCGTGGCGAAGCTTTTTCCAAATTTTGTTGGAAGGCAAATGTTAGTGGTTTGTGATCCGTGTATATTGCAAAAGTTCGCCCTTCTAAGATGTATTTGAAATGTTTTACTGCTGTATAGATGGCTAAGAGTTCTCTGTCGTAGGCACTATATTTTTGTTGTGCTGATGTCAAATTTCGGGAAAAGAAACTTAAGGGTTGTTTTTCATTATTCACAATCTGATGTAAAACGGCTCCAATGGCAGTATCGGAAGCATCAGTTGTTAGCGATATTTCAGCCTTTTCGGATGGGTGAGTTAAGTTTGTGGCATGAATAAGTGCATCTTTTAAGATCTGGAAGGCGTTTCTTGTTTCTGCCGTCCAGGTTATTTCTTTTCTGCAGTTCTTTTTAATACCACTGAGCAATGTTGTTAAAGGTTGTTGCAGTTTCGCACAATTTGGTATGAATCTGTGATAAAAATTCACCATACCTAAAAATCGTCTTAAACTAGTAAATGACTTTGGTTCTGGGAAATTTTTGATGGCATCAACTTTCGTTGAAAGAGGTTTAAGTCCTTCAGCTGACACTTCGTATCCCAGGAATGCAAGTTTTGTTTGACCAAATTTACACTTTGCCGCATTAATACACAGGCCATATTCGTTTAGTCTCTCGAGGACTGCTCGTATATGTTTTCGATGAGTTTCTTCATCTGGAGAGGCTATTAGAATGTCATCCAAATAGCAAAACACGAATTCTAGTCCATTCAACACACTGTTCATGAAACGTTGGAACGTTTGGGCCGCATTTCGTAGGCCGAACGTCATGAATGGGAACTCGAATAAGCCAAAGGGAGTGAGAATGGCCGTTTTCGGTATATCTTCTTCGCGAACTGGAATTTGTTGGTACGCTCTAATGAGGTCTATGGATGAGAAAACTCTTTTTCCAGCTAAAATGGAACTGCAATCTGTTAAAAATGGGAGAGGGTATCTATCAGGAATCGTGACGTTGTTTAACGCTCGATAGTCTCCACAAGGTCTCCAATCACCTGATTTCTTCATAGCGAGATGTAGTGGGCTCGACCAGTTACTTTTGGATGGCCTGCATAAACCCATTTGGAGCATAAATTCAAACTCCTTTTTAGCCGCTTTGAGTTTCTCAGCTGATAGTCTCTAGCTTTAGCGAATCTTAGCTTTAGCAAAAACTGGTGGACCTCTGGTTTCGATATAATGTTCGATGTTATGATTTTTAACTTTATTATTAACTACATTCAGTTTTAACAAATCCGGAAAATCGTTAATGATACGTTTATATGGATCATTTACGGCATTTAAAATCGGATATTATTATTGTTATTTTGAAAACAAGGAGTTCCATTGGTTGTTAAGAATGTAGTACCATCAATCAACTTGCGATTTTTAGAATCTACCAAAAGGTTAAAATTTGCAAGAAAATCCATGCCTATTATCGGTTTGTTTACGTCCGCAATTACAAAAGGCCATGTGAATGATCGTCTGAGTCCAAGATCAAGCTTGAGTAATTTTTGGCCATATGTTTTAATTTTTCGTACCATTTGCAGCAAAGAGTTCTAATTTTGAGATGTTTTTTTTATCTGCAGGCAGGTAAGGGAGGAATGACAGAAATTTCTGCCCCGTATCTATTAAAAATTGGGTAGCTGATTCTTTGTTGTTGATGAAAAGACAACTCAGCAGTACCCCTTGTCCTTCCGTTGTCAATGAGAGACGGGGGAGCTGGTTTTCCTGGCTATTTGGCTGTGATTTTGATGAGAAGTTGCACGGTTGTTTACACTTAAATGACTTGTCACCGAATTTGTTATGATAGTGACAAATATCACTAGATCTGTTAACACTGTAACTCCTATCTCTTGATTTGGATTGGTTACGACAATAGGGACGTAAAGCAGAAACTTGTAAGCTAAGTTCACTAACCTGTTTCTGTAAACTTTCAATCACTTTTGTTTTTACTGTTATGGATGAAGCAGCAGCAATTTGGAGAGTAACAGGGTTTAATTTCCAAATCTTATCGGCCATTGTAGCCACTTTTGACAAATCTTCACCACTAACCAATATATGCATATTAACTGGTAAACGCTGTAGCCACAATGTTTTTAGGAAAGTATCTGTTACTTTATCGCCAGCCAAATTACGCATCTCACACAGCAATTGAGATGGCTTTTTGTCACCCAGTTCTAACTCACTCAGTAATTTTTGGGGTTTTTTGAGTCTCTGAATCAGCATATAATGAAATTAGTCTATTTTTAATTGCCTCATATTTATTATCTTGTGGTGGACTTACTTGTGGCGGACAAAATATTAGATACTTGTGACAAAATATCGGATTCAATGGAACTTATAATCATATTTTGTTTGATCTGCATTTATTTTTGCATTTCTAAATTGTACTTCTAGTTGAATAAACCGTATTTTAGGATCTGGCTTCCAAAAAGGAGGAACTTTAACGCTTACGTTGGCAACAGACGCAGTTGTTGCTTTAATTTTGGTTTCCTTGTTGTCAGCCATTGTAGAATTCAATCACGCTCGGGCCACCAATGAAATATGCAAATGTAAGAAAATAACACTTCTCTGACCCCAATAGAATCAATATTTTATTCCTTACAACGCTATATATACTTATTCATAATATGTATTTCCATTTTACATGTACATCAAATCGCATGATAGAATACTGACCTTTGTTTTTCACGGAGACAAGAAAATGTATTGCCGTTCCGCTTTAACTAAATTAGAAACTTGACGGAATTGAAGCGACGCTACAATGTATCCATTGAGTTTAGATTTACAGATAAGAAAATTCATTTGCTTGCAGTTCAAAGTACTTCCTGCTCTTATATTTCCAGATGCTTCCTTCACTTGTTTTTGATACTATGGAAAATTATGTATAAAATAACTCTTTTCTGCATTTTTTCTTTCAGATTTGGGAAAGGGGTGGTTGTTGCTTTAAAAAATATAATCAATTAATTTGCTATTTCTCAGCTCAATATTACTGTATTTTATGTATGTTTCATTTTAGTTTTGGTAGTTTAGTATCATAAGCTGCCTCCCTCCACCACCCCCCTTTTTTTAAATCTTTGTTCCTGATTTTTAAGAATTCGCTTATTATAAAATTTTATATCATATTTTTCTTTATCGAAAGAAATCCCTTATAATTTTCAATGTTTTATTTAGGTATCGAGATTATCGGAATCCTCCATTTTCTGAAAATAAGTACGCATATAGTGAAGAATATTGGCATTTACTCTCTGTACGTTTTGCATTTGTCCTTGTATTTGAGGTAAGATTATCTCTATCTATGCATATCTATAAAAAACATAAAATTTTTATACTAAATAATTTATATTGTTAAGATAGTTTTCCAACACTTTTTTTAAATGAAAAATTGGAAAGTCTCTGTTACAGTTATTTTAAAAGGAGATTAAACTATAATTTGAACACTGAATATGTTTAAATGTAAAATTCTACCATATTGGAATGATAAATTTTGCTGTGCCAGATAAATACCAAAATAAAATTTCTTACAACAGTCTAATTTAGTTCCTCAAAACCATACGTGAAAATCTCTTAATTAAGGAAAAGAGATAAACTGGAAAATATTAATTCATGATACTTATTATTATTTATTGTATTTCATATAATTGAGTAATACAGATCATCTCAACTTTATGCAATATTTGTCATGCTTTTAGTAAAATTCTGCATTTGAGATTCTAGTAGAGATTTACAAACAAAGACTAAATACTTCAAGTGCTATGAAACTGCTCTTCTGTCAGAGTCATCTTCAATCAGCCGAAATTTTGGTATCTTGAATTTAGGGAGAATGTCCTTTCAACAGCACAGTTAGCACTATTAAAATTTTAAAATCATTCCTAAAGTAGATTTTGAAAGATTTAGTATCCTGATTGAAAGAGGGGAGGGAGTATGGAAAAGTCTAAAACATTAAAGCTTATTTACTATGATATTTCATAAATATCCTTGAAACACAATTTTCAGCCATGTTGCTAGATACAGCAAAAGTATTGTTATAATTTGGGATTTGTCAAATCTCAAAGCAAGTATCATATTTGTACAATTGACAACACTCATCCAGTCTAGGATTATAACTTTGTCCTTGAATTAATTAATTGGAAAGATTATTTTCTGTAATTTTAAATATTTTCTAGTTTCAGAATTATTTATATATTTTTGCTTTCAAACTCAAAAAGTATTTTCTTGTAGCTAAAGAATGCTAAACAGATTCATTTAGATTATTATTCTAATGAATTGCATTGCTTGGAAATAGTTTTATATATAATTTTTTAGCTCAAAAAATGTCCCAATGTTATTTTGTTAACATTTTCTGTCTCCATTATTTATGGTTTCAGAATGTGATATTGATGACTACAACTCTGACACGTTGGCTTATACCTGATATTCCAAAGAAACTTATGGAAAGGATTCGACATGAAAATTTTATCACAAGTGAAATCATGATTGCTCAGGAATTGCGCAGAGCTAAAGGTCTTACATCTAGTCTAGAAGACAAAAGTACAGGAGATAGTATGAGATCTCCTAATCCTGCTTATGATAATCCTCTCATAAAAGAAGAACTAATATAATCTGCTTGCAGAAAATCTTAAAGTTGAACAGTACAAAATGTTCTAGTTTTAGTTAAAAGTCACAGTTGCCATCTGTAAAATATACTTGTTGATAACTATAGTTGTCATCCATAACTTATCTGTTTCGTTGAGGAATCCTTCCACGTGCATGTCATGAAAGCTGTATAGAAATTAAAATATATTTATTCATTTTATAGGGAATTTTTATGCATTTTTATTGAAAGTATATTTTATCAAACACAGTACTTGCCATTTTCACTTATGAATAAGTACTTAAAAATAAGCAGTCATACATTTCAGTCTATTTCAGATTATTCTTAAAGTAAACAGAATATCTAAAAAAAAAGCCATGAACTATTTGATAGGAAACAGATTCTTGTAGCAGTGAACTCTCTTGATATAGAGAATAATAATATTTCAAATGGGATTTAAGTTATAATCATGAACTGTACCTTGATATATTAAATAAAATCACATTTGGACATTATTTTTAATGAATGCATATGCTTCTACAGAGATTATTCCTTGGCATTTTTGCTATTAATCCTTGTATTTACCCTAAAGTACTGAATGTAGTTTCTATTGAATTTTTATCTAAGAAGTTTTGGTTTTCTAAGTACCCAGTCTTAGACTATACTTCATACACATTTTAGATCTGAAAATACAAATTTTATTATTTTAAATTGCACATGTCTAGATACAGATTTTTGGGAATTTAATCTATAATTATATTTTTCATTTTTTAGTAAACCTTCATTTAAAATTATGGATTATTTTCAGAAAATTATTCTGCTGCTTCCTTTTTTAATACATCTTTTTTAATAACTGAATTCTAGATTCTGGAAATTATCTTTAATTTTAATAAAAAATTTTCTTTTCTAAGTTTCCGACATTACTTTTAATCTATATTATTCATACTCTTTAATATTTTGTAATAAATATTTGTTGACCATAAAGGTGTTTTGGAATTTATAGGATTGTGATATATAAAATTTATTCTGGGACATAATATGAAAATGTTCATTAAGTATGGTTTGATACTAGTCCAATAAAATTTTTAAAGTGTATATATGTGAATGTAATCTCATTTTTAAATATAATTTGTTTTTATAAAATGCAGGAAGTTTTCATTTATGCATCCTCAAAGTGTGAATATTTTTATTTATAGACATTGGAGTATTTATGTTAGAAGAATTAATTTTTGGGATTATTCATGCTAATGAGCAATATAGAACTGTTTAGGATAGTATAGGACTTGAAGAGCTATTTCTAGAGTTGAACTAGGATTGTTATGAAGTGTCTTAGTTTCGAAAACTGAATTTTGAATTCTGATTTAAATAAAGATGTATTTTGTAATATCACTTCTAGTGGGGGAAATCATTCAAATGCTTAATAAACGTGTTTTCAAGTTTGCATTTTTTCAGCCTCTTTTATTATTATTATTATTATTATTTAATTTTGAGAATGTTTAAGTGATATGAAGATGTTATGACTTCCTTTGCTCATGAATACATTTGTCTTTAAAATGTACATTACCTTTACAATGTATGGATTTTTTAAATTAGTTTTTTAATAAAAATTTATTACTGCTTTTGAATTGGATTGGTTACATCAATAGCTTTTATAGATACGCAAATAACACGTAAATAACAAGGCATCCATAACATGATGGCTATATAAAAGCCAGCTTAAGAAATCCATAATCATAATTGCCCATATGACAAATATCCACTTGGATAAAAGCCCATGTAGCCTGTAATGCCATATACAAGAAAACAATTTTCCCATATTTTTAATTTTTAATGAAGCAAATTCTTATTTCAAAATTGAAATAATCTTTAAATTAATATTTATAAATTATGTGTTTTTTATCCAATTTATGTAAACAAGAAATTTAGAATTTATAGAAGATAGAAATTTAAGACAGTTAATGAATCTTGGCATCAAATTTCGACCCACTTTCAAAGTTAGCAAAAAATTCTGCATCCACATGAAAGAACACTAGGTAGCTTAATAATTAACCACCATGAGATTAATGCTGGAGATACTTGAAATTATGGACTCCCAGAATACAGCCCTTATGTACATCAGCATATTATAACAGGAAATTTAGAATTTATAGGAGAAAGAAATTTAAGACAATTAATGAATTTTTCCACCAAATTTCGACCCACTTTCAAAGTTAGCAAAAATTCTACATCCAACCATTCGAAAAAGATCTAGAAACTTTCAAGGATCTTTTCACCACTACGAAAATAGACAAAGCAACAACAGTAACAACTTTAGTATTGTTTTAAAGACTTTCTAATATAATCTGATTAAAAAAAGAATTCCATAGCACAGTTACCTATCAAAAAATTAAAATTACCGTGAATATACTTAAAAAACGTTTCACTGCAATTCATCGAAGACTTAAAAATCACTATGAATAAATTTTACAACAGATTTTCCAACCTCTATGCATAGCCTAAATTTCACAGGATCCCAGTCAAATTTCAATTCCTAGCTAAGGGGACCTGAAATTATATATGAAAGAAATAGACTACTGTTTTATTTAACACTTAAAAAAGTTCTTTTTATTAAAGATGCATTCAACTGGATAATAAGTAACAACGAACCAATACTAGAAGTACTTCGTACTTAACACTAAACATTAAAAATATTTTCTGTTATGACTTTAAGAATTTATACGTGGCTCTTCCTTTACAAACAGTCTTTGACAGTCTACTATTCTTTTTAACAGACTTCATTGCATTTAATAATGCTTTTTTTAAGCAAATCAACAGCATCCTGACGGGAGCTAACACAAATTCTGAAATTTATAATTTGTACCTTTTAACCAAGGAATTTTATTTTCAATAACAGTTATCTCAAATACAACGTTCCTATAACTCTAACATTTATAGATACATGGATGATTATTATTGCAATCAACAACTTCAATAAAATAAAAAATGATCTCATTTATCCCTCATGTTTGGAACTCAATAAAACTAGCTTTCAACAAGGAGATATTAATTACCTAGATTAGCAAAACATCGATTTTAAAGATATAAAAATTTACAACAAAAGAGATTTTGATTTCCCTATTATAAAATTCATTCATTGGCTTTCAAATACCTCCAAAAGAATAGTACTTATTAATTTCTCATCTAAAGTGAAATGATAATTATTACTTAAACTAATCAGAGGTCATAGTTGGATGACTACGATAAGAAATTTAATATAAATATGTAAAACGATCTGGTTTATTTCACTTTTAGCTATTACTTATACTATCTTTCTACTATTTTGTCAATTTAAATAAACTGGCAAAGTTTCTTTTACTAAAAAAAATGGGTTCTCTAGTTTCAAAGATATACTGTAACCCATATTACGTGAAGACTTTTATCTTTTACAGCTTGTATTTTTCCTCAACTTTAAGCCAGTTTTGTTTTAAGATTTTAAATAAGACATCATCTTTTAGAAAGTTTCTTTCACCGCCATGTTGGAGTTGACAATCATCCTCATCGTCGGTAATAATTTTTACCAGACCCGCACCCAATGTTTTGCACCACCACAAAAAACGTTTAACGGGATAGGACATTTTGAACACACATTGAAATACTTTGTTCTGCTATTGGACACTTATCACATACTTTTCCCAAGCAATACAATTTTTTATTTCTCCAGAATGACCTTGAATTCAACTTTCTTTTGCAAGCAACACAGTTTGGAAAAAGATGGTCGGTTTTAGAATTCAATAAGTTTACGTTTTGTTCAATTTTCATTTCAAATAGGTTTTTAGTTTTATAGCAGTTTAAGGCTTGGATTTTATAGTATTATAGAAATCTCTTCTATAACGTTTTTCTCTTTCTTGGTATTAAAAGTTTAAGATCGCATAATCTGGGACCACACAATTTTTTAGTGTTGTTTAAAAGACAATTTAAAGTATATTTGTTTCACTCTTTAATTTGTAATTTCTTTGATTTACATATAATGTTATTTGACCAAATTGTTTTTTAATGGTCAATTTGCATAATGTTAAGTGTTTTTTTTTTTTTTTTGATTGATTACTCAATTTTGCACAATGTTTCCAAGTGTTTTGAAAGCATGCAGGAAAAATTCTGGTTACGTTTCAGATTCGATTTTTCGATTTTAATTGATTAGTTTTTCTAATTTTGTATGCATTTTTTCCTTTTCGCATTTTTATTTTTAGAGTTTGTTCTACTGATGAATTCTTATTTTAATTTTGATATGTTTAGATACAATGTTAAATCTCTTACCCACTGTTGCAATTATTAATATTGTTCAGGAACTACCTTGTTTTGATTCCAATTTAATTTTAACTTGATACTTTAATTTACTTCAATCCTGCAATTATAGCTTAGGACAGGTTAAAAAAATTTCGTTTTTAATTTTTGGCCTATTACTATGTTTCTTTATATATGTGTGTGTGTGTAATAAAAAAAGACGACATTCGAAGTACACACATAACCGTAAATTCCACACATAATTTTATTCCATGGTAATGCACATCATCACTATGGATGCATTATTGCACCTCACAATTTTGTACAGCTTACATGTTTTAAATAATTGACGAAGCTGGAAAAGTAAACTCTGTGTAGCTAGTGGCAATGCAAAGCAGCAAAACGAAGCGAGAGAGGGAGTAATGATGTAATTAACCTTTTGTACCATTTCAGATCACACGACAGAGATTAATGTCCAGATGTTCGGTTCAGTTTCATGGATAAGTGCGCAATACAGATTAGACGGCAGATCTTTTTCCTTTAGTTAGGAGAATTATTGCTCTGTTATTTTTAGAATGAAGACAGGAGTTAAAGTGCCATTATTAGTTCATTATTTGAAAGATAGATATTTTACATATTCCAAACAAATAATTGTAAACCAAAACTTTTTTAAACTCGGAACTGAAACTTTTGACTCCCTCCCTTCTTTCTCTGAACTGATGCGTCACTTTTCGCTTCAATTTCCGTGCTGCGTGGATGGTTTGCTATGCTCGCTTCTATCGCCATAGAATCAAAAATGTAAATGTTCTGGAAATACTGTATACGCTCACGTAATGTCTGCACATTTTTTACTAAAATTACATCACTAAACTGCAGGTGCAGACATTACGTGGGTCGTTCCAATGTCGCACTTTTTCTCGTGAGTAATTTTGGGTATAAATTTCATTTCAAACAGCCAAGTTCTAAGTGGAAGAAAATAGAATAAGTAATAAAAGTATCAAGTTTAAAGTTGTCTGATAGGTACCTAAAATTTACAAACTCACTTTTCCCATCCACATATATAATATAAATTACCCCGTTTATGTTATCAACACTCATCGCGTGTTAGTTCGCTTAGGAGCATAGAATAGAGGCATTGCGATGTAGGAATGTCTCTTCTCATGCCGCAGCATGCGCTCATATTTGGCACATTTCCTGTGTTCTGCATATCCTTGAGCACACATATCACGGACATCTGCAACTACCTTTTTTCCTAAGATCGGAAACTTGCATTTCAAATCGGGAAACGCACATTTTGTTTTGTTCATTGCCACCAGTTGATCACGCTTGTTTGCTCCAATTGCGCACACACCTTTCGTCTGTTTTGCTGCTGCTCATTTTCCATTTTCCTGCGCAAATTCTACGACTTTCAGTTTAAAAGCCGCTGTATTTTCCTATGTCAAGCACGCTGCTTGCTAACTAGTACGAATTCCAAATGATGCTGTGAATGAAAAGAGGAAGCTTGAAATATGCGAATGCTCCAAGGAGGAAAGAGGGGAAAGTAATTTCATTACAAAACAGTATTTCTTAGAAGCCGGTGTGTTTGAAGTGCCTTCATTTATTTAGTGCCGAGTGGATTGCTGGCGCCGATGTTATGACTGAATAACAGCTGCACCAGAATCTAAGGAAAGTCTGCTTGCATTCTGGTGCAGCTGAAAGTCTCTGCTTTCCATCCTGGCACCAACCAAAGACAAAACAAATGCATATTATTTCTTTAAAGTTATTCATTAATTAAGCGGAAAAAGGCGATGTTAAAAGAATATTTTTTAAAGTATGAAATTTTTTAGTTTGGGGTGCGGACAATGTGCGGGTTTTTTTACATAAATTTTATCTGTATTTTATTTAATCCGCTTTCGCCTCCGATTTCCTAGTCATTCTGGATCAACACATCTACGCCATCAAAATTTTCTGCTGGTTATTACTACTGAGTTTGAATATATTACAACTTTTTTTTTTTCCAGATTAAATCTTCAGTTTTATTTTCAGCTTCAGCAACATGTTGCAGCTACACACACATCGGCATATTAAATATGCCTATTCCAAAAAGGTTACATTTATGATAACTTTGTAGCAAGAAAGCAGCAGCACACAGACAGCAGTATAGCTAGGCCAAAGCGTGGAAAGAAAGTGCGTAATGTTCAGGATGAAATCTTAAGTCAAACTGAGTTAGTTTTGGTTTTCAAAGCATTTTGATTAGATAGTTAATATTGATGTAAAATTATTATTGGCTGCTTGAGTTTTAGTTCAGTTTACATCACCAGAATTACGTAAGAGTCATATGACATAGAATAGTCTCGAAATGATGCAGTGCAGAGATGTTACTATT